CTGCTGGAAGTAATCCTGCATCAATGGAGGTACCGCTTGACTGCAGTCTTCCTCACCCACTGCAAATCTGGAGAGTGGTGCCAGTTGACCAGAGAAGGTGAACGTCAGTGACGAAATGTCATCATCAATGTATGAACAATACCTGACGACATAAAAATGCTCCGACCTACCGTTTTGCCGAGTCAGCGAAACGTCGTTGGTCAATTATCTCAGCAGTCATTAGCAATCAGTGTCAGGAAGGCGCAAACTTCATCGAACTTCGCCTTCGTATATGTTAATCCTCTGCATGATGCTCCGTCAAAACGAGATGAAAAATCCGACTTTAAGGACAGAGCCAAAACGGAAAGTCCGTCAAAGTAGAAAGTCCGTGCCAGAGGGTGCACCGTACAGCTGCACCAGATGACTGACTGCATGCTAGACTTCCGGTGACAAGTCTGTTTCGTTATCTATCATACTCTTTCGTGCCTCCGGTCCCTTCGCTCGTACAATAATGCTGGTATCACAGCACGTCGAAAGCATAACTTATAATCAGGAGGGAGTGGATTAGGATTTTCGGCTGAATCTGTTAGGACAGATCTTTTAAAAGTAGAAAAATGAACGTCAATACGGAGGGGCAGCGAAAACAGCAGGGACCAACCATCCTGCAACTTCTCTAAGAAAAGGCAATGCTTTTAAACATCATAATTCAGTTCACATAGCATACCATGGCGGACATCATTCGAAATGAAACCTAATGGTGTGGCAAGGATTACCGTCTAGATATCATTAACAATTAATGAGTCATTTTTACAGTCAATTTTAGCAGCAGCTCTCAATGAATCCTCCTCAGCGTTCACGTCGCAGACTGGCAAGCACGGGGGTGCATATTCCTCAGTAGAGATGGCAACAGCAAAGACAGATACCTTTAAACGGTGGCCAACGAGGCGCTAATAGCTGCGAACAGAACGCGTTTCTCTCAAAGAGGGCATTCCGACTACACTCCCAAGAAAAAAGATCAGAGAACAATAGGCCGCCAGTCCCAATCGAAGCAAGGAGAGAAAAACCTGTTCAGCACATCTACTCTCCAAACAGAGGAAAAAGACCTGTGGGACAGATGTTCGAAACATGCTTGATAAATGGTATGAGGAAATGAGAAGAAAACAACATTAATCCACAGACTGAACTGTTACGACTGGAAAATTCAGATTTAAGCACTGATTAAAAACTGATGAAACT